CCTCCCCCAGTGTGGTTGGAACTGAGAAATTCAAAGAATCATTGACTACAATACATCCTCAAAATTGCTTGTGTTTGTGAACAACTTATAATCACCATCTTTGTTCCCTTATTACGCTCACGACAACTTTGACAGTGCTGATACTAGCAGTATGCAGGACGCCTGTCACATATGAACTCAGTTAAAATGACCTTCCTCTCCATGAGTTCTTTTAACTCAGTGGATAGAGTGCCCACCTGGTGTTCAGGAGGTCATGGGTTCGATTCTGTTCGGGGACTCAGATTTTATCTTTGTCCCACGCTCATGTCTTGTAGATCAGTTCACTTTTCACAACTTATAATCAATACCTCTTTTGGTAGACTATTTCAGCATTTAACATATAAATAAATAAATTCCATAATAACAATAATGTGATTTATTAGCAAAATATTATTTATAACAATAATATTATTTGAAGGAAAAAACAAAATAACTGCATAGTACCTAAGATAAATAATCATTGTTTGACCTAAAGGTCTGATAGATTTTTAGTAAGAGGTTTATTATTAATCTTGCAGTTTAATTGTTACCCTTCTGCCTGGTTTAGGATGTTAACAAAAGCCACGAAAATCCATTAAACTCAAAAACTAAAATATTTAAGGTTTTTATCTTATAGAAAAATTGCATCACCATCTTTCATAACTGCCTTTAAGAACCATTTTCCCCAGATCTACTACAACTCTAAACTGGGATGAGTCCTCTGGTGGCATGTCATCATCTTCATCAGTGATGGCTTCTTGGCCTTGAGGCTGTTGAACTAAAATATATAATTATGAAAAAAGATTACAAATGTGAAATTAAAATCTGGCAGAAAGATGAGCACTAGAAACAACAAGTATTAATGTTGTAAGCAAAATATATTATCCTAAAATATGAAGTACTAACAAAATTGGAAAAGAGCATTTGATAAAAACTAAAATGTAATAATTTTACCAGATTGAGAGGAATTATTAAATGCTGCTTTCATGTGCCTCAAGGAGTCCTGAACCTGAGGATCACTGGCAAACTCCTTTAACTGCGGAATATCTACATTCAAAAAGAAAACACACATAGTCAAACAAATCATTTCATTCACTCACTCATTTCTTTCAGCTCGATTAGCTTATTAAGAGTTTTTCTATTTTGGTACTAAAGTGTGTTGTCATCGTCGCAATAAAAAAAATTCAAATCAAATTTATTTACTTAATATCTCTCTCTAGTATTAATTAAAGAAGTATTTAATGTCTAAAGGTATACAGATTTGAAATATATACTCTATACCTTCCCACACTTCATATCTACTGTGGTGATAAATATTAATAACAGATTTAGAGTATTGAGCCTGTAGTGATCCAGAGCTGCCCTTTCCTAAATCCAAGGAACGGGGCTGGCTTCTTAGTCCTAGTATACCATTCTTTCATCTCAAAGGCAAAAACAAAACCAAAAAAATTATTCATCCATGTATTGATAAATCAATCAATTCAACAGTGATTGAGTAAAACAGTAAAACTTTTAATAATAAAAAAGGGGTCCTCAATGTATGGAGAAGTAGGGGAAAAAAGGTTTGTCCATAAACTCATAGGGTATGGCAATCTTATAAA